TAGGAAAGTGTTACTGAACATCTACAATAAAATAGGTACTTTGACATTAAAATATTAAATTACTTTACAGATATTGATATATAAATAGATTTAGGGTATATCATTATTTCTATTATAGCTGCAAAAACTGATTTGGAAATTTTATTGTGTTCAAGGTCCATTATTAAAGGGGAACATCTGGCTCCTTAGCATTCTTCTTAGCTCAAAAGGCTCCCCTCTTTGCCTCATCCAGGTCTCAGACTAAGCTTGTCATAGTTCACCACCAAGCTAAAGCCTGTGCCACAAACAGCCTACTCAGCAGCACGGTCTGTTTCCTTCTTTGGATGGGTGCACCTTTATTTACTGAGTATCCAGCTAATCAGACAGCAGGACCTGTGCTGCTTGGAGAGCAGAGTGCACAAATGGGCAGCTCGACTCAGCAGCTCTCAGGACTCCCCTTAGATTTTTCTCAGATAGGTACGCAACAACTTCTGGCTTCAGGTTCTCAAATGTAATAAAATTTTGGGTCCTTTTTTGTGCAGCCTGGATCCTCCTTTCTTCAGAAAGTGGAAAGTTACTGAGACTGGTTGGTTTTAATAATCATTAATTTTGAGTTGTCCTTAGGGCAGAACTAAGCACATGAATGTTGCTTTTGCCAACTACATGCTCCTGGTCTCCACTACAGGGAGGAGGTACACACTTCTGGTTCCATATCTTCTTACACATCTCACAGGCTACTCTAAGGGATTGCCCACCCCCCAGGTGGCAGAGTCAACAGGGTAAGACCATAGTCATGGTCAGCACCAAACTAGATAACAGGGAGGAGAAACCCTACAAGGCTCCTGAGCTTGGTCAAGCTACTTCCTGGCAAAATCCTCCCTAAAGAGAAGTCTTTGGCCCAGTGTTTCAGGTGCTCCAGGTCTTCATCAAGAGAATAGCTCAGTATATGCAATTCCCTGATCCATCTCCTACTACCGGGATGCATATGGCCTGGTCTGCCTCCAATTTCCACCAGCCAATAGGGGGCTCCACCCAGTTGATGGCTTTCTGCCTAGGCTTGCAGGAGATAGGGCAAAAGTTAATATTAGGTGAAAAGTCTGGGGCTTCTTGCCCACCAAACCTGGGATATGGCGCAATGAATGCTTTACTAATGTCAGGGGAAATAGGTCTCTGACACCTCCTGGAATGGAGTGCAGGACCATCCTGGGAATTCCCTAGTTCTTCTTCCCACTCTCCATTGGGCATGGACTGCATTGGCAAAGGCTTTTCCATAATCCCCCTTGAGAACCCGACACCTTGTCCCCAATCCATTTACTTCGAGCAGTTGCAGGGGAGGTTTTCAAGAATTTGTATGTAAATACGAGGAGAGGGCTCATTCTATCAGTGGTGAGTGTGAGAATGTCTACAGCTACTCTCACATACACTGTTCGGTATCATCTGTAGCAACTCATTACCCAGAAACATCAGAAACTGGCAAAGTATATGTACCAAACTCCATTTACATTGCATTTACAGCACACACCGGTAAACATCTGCATTCACAAGGGCCACTGGTCATATAGACCAGACTGTATACACTAGGATATAATCGCTACACATCAGGAACTCTATTAAATACTTTTGCTGTAACTCAAGAAACTCTCTAAATCAGCTTAACAGAAACTCAAAGTACAAAAAGGAAAGAAAGGAAATGAGCAATGAAGAAAATCTGCCATTGCCCCAAACTTTTAGCACTGAGGGAAAATGACTTAGAGCTTTGGAGAAACCCCTAGGGCTGGAATTAGAGACAGATGTCTTCCTGCAGCATCTCTGGGGAAGTGGGTATGATTTGGCTCTGTTCTCTCACCTCCTCCAATCCCTGTGTAAACCCAGGAAACCCCTACTGGTTCCTTCATTTTATTCTCCCTCTTGCTAAGGCTTCTCAACCTTCAGTTCCTCTTGACTTTCAGCTCTCAGGAGCAGAGAGAGACTCTGCTCCAATGTTTCAACATTGGCCCGGCTCAAACTTTCCCACCTCACTGGAGGTGGGCTGTTACCTGCTCTTTGTGGGAGGCTACCTTCTCCTGCTTTTCCTGCTCTGGATAGCTGTTAGGGGGGTGCTGACAGCCAACCTCAGAACAGGGAACCTCTGCCAGATGAAGCAGTCTATATATTCTCTGTTATGGTTCAACAAGCCAGAAATACATTCTCCGAACATAACTGCATGTATCATCATGAGGTATGAATGCAACACATACTGTGGTTCCAGTAAGCACTTCCTAAATGTTAGCCATATGGTTATTACAATGCCCCAAATGTATGTCCTCCCTGCAGGGGAATGACAGACACACATATATCTCACACCCCTTTACCAGCACACAACTAACACTACACCACATCGGTTGTTCGCATCACAGAAAGCATGAATCGACAAGCACACAAGAGCACACCGTCTTTTTCTAAAACTTCCTTTCATTAGCCAGACAGTAGAACACCGGGCCACCAAAAGTACGTAGATGTACCAGGCCTGAGCAGCCTCTTTGGCTTGCTGCTGGCTGTGTCTCTCTTTAGTCTGTTCTGGCAGCCTCCAGTCTCCATTTCAGGTTTAGTCCCTAAAAACTCACACGGCCTCCTCTGACACATGGAACCCTCTTCTGGGGAGAGAGGAGAGGACATCCCAAGTCAGAGCCACTACTTCCCTGTTGGTCCCAGTTACACACTGTAGAATTGACACCTTGAAATTCTGAGGTTTGAACTCTGGTCCGCTAAAGCAAGCAGCCTATATACAGTTTGTTACCTGCTCCTACCCCACCGGCTGGGCTGGACCTGGTATCAGGACTGGGAGGTAGAAGGTGGGAGGTGGGGATCTGTGGCTAAGAGTGGATCTAGCCCCAGCTGTGCCGGGCCACCCAGCCTCCCAGCCTTGGCAAAAGTCTTGCCTTGAGTGCTCACATACTCCGTGAGTGCTGATTACCTGTTGTCTCTATTGAAGGCCAATCACCCCAAAGTGGCTGGGGGAGACCTAGACTGCAAATGGGTCAAATATCTGTCTGTGGGTGCAGAAGCCTGAGTCTTAATTTGTTATTTGAAGATCTCTGTGAAGGGAGAGAAATTGATTTCTGTAGCCATGTAGTATATTACACCCTTTCTGAAAGCCCCAAGTCTCTTACTCATGTCTCAAAGTAAATGAATTCTGATTATTAAAAATAATAAAGCAATCAGTCACTTATTACATTTGTAAAGAGGTTTGCAGATGACAGTACATTTCTGAAATCAGGATTTTATACAACGAGAACAAGCTCTTCAGGCTATTTGACTAAAAAAACAAGTAAGAAGAGAATAATGTAGACACAGACCGTATACCTAGCAAAATTTTGTAAGAGGCAAAATATAAACTTGGATGGGTGCAAAAATAGAACAAATCCTGTTCAGTAGAGCCTTGAGTACAAAGCAGGGAGACAAAGTCTCTCTGCTGATGTTAACCAGCCGCAACAGATGAGCGATGACACAGAAAACAAACAATATCCAGGAAAACAAAGCAGCAGCACCAGTCAAAAATGCCACCACCCTGGTTGCCCTCCACCCTTGTTTAGTGCTCTTTGAAAAAGGTCAACATTGTTGCTGCAAAGCTATTTTAACTAGCCCTCGGCGAAGAAAATAATTTGTAAGTCCGTGTTAAAAGAAAAAACGGAAAGATTTATTGGGGAATTCACAAGACGCACCGGTGCGCGTGCACACACACATACACACACGCACACACACAAATATAACAAAAGTGCTCTAGTTCTCGCTAAAAACATTTGGTCCCCCAAATGACACACTATACAACCAGGTCTAGGTTTTCGGGCCAGCGAGCTCCGGGGCCACAAGCCCGCCTGGGCCGTCTGCTGCCCTGCCAAGTTTCACATTTTTCCTTCCCACGATGGGAGAAGCAAGGCTTTTGAAAAAACAAAAATTAGAGGAGGGAGAACGGTCCCTGCAGCACGTGCCTGGGTCAGGCAGACAGCGATCTCCGGCATCGGGGCTTCTATCCGAAGATTTGGGGAAATGTGGTTTTAGTTTTATTTTATTTTATTTTTCAGATAGGACAAGAGCAAAACTCCCTAGATTCATAGACAAAACCATCTTTTACTGGTTATTTTCTCCTACCTCTATGAACGCAGCTTTTTGAAGGCCCGACAGGAATTCTACTGCAAATCTCCCCGAAGAAAAGATGAAGAACATTACAGTTTTAAATTTTGATGTTTGGTTTTAGCAAAATCCCAGGCCATAATACTTCGTCAGTTTTTCCGGCGAGTGTTTTATCCTTAAAAAAATAGTTTTTTTGAAACTGTCATCTAAAAAAGCCCCACCGATCGTTCTAGCAAGATATTAGCCAGTCGCGGGGTTCTGGCGGTACCCGAAGCAGCGGCACGGAGAGCAGAGGAGACGCAGACTCCTTCGGAGCGGGCCGCGGGGTGAACCCGAGCCCTGGCCGGGCGCGGCCGCCCGGCTCCCCGCTTGGGCCCAACCCCTGCCCCGCCCAGCGGGCCCCACAGCGGGCGGCTTCTGAGCCGCTCCACTAGGGTTCGCGGAGCGATCGGACAAGTTCTTCCCCTTCTCCGGCGCCGCGGGTCCTGCCACCGGTGCAGCCCGGACAGGCAGGGAAAGCCGAGCGGGAGCCCACGAACCTGTAAGAGAAGGCCACGAGGTGGGCGCCGCCGAGCGCGGCCGCACCTCGGCCCCGGGCGCAGTCTCTCCGCGGGGAACTTTGGCTCGAGGTGTCCGGACGCTGGGGCTCCGGCAGGAGGCGAGGCCTGCAGCGTGCGCGCGGAGAGGCGCCTCAGGCCAGGGGACGCCAGGGCACGGAGGGCAGAAAGGCGAGCACAGGGGCAGCGGAGGGGACAACGAGGGGTGTGGAGTGCGGGAAGCGAGGAGGCACGGAAGGGTCGTGGGCGCTGGCTCAAGAGGCATCCTCGCGGGTGCGCCGTCCGGCTGGCGACGCGCTGCGACCGGGGCCGGCGACGTGCGTGCCGGCATCGTCGCATCCGTTCGCGCAGGCAGGCGCTGGATCTCAGATATCGAGGCGCGAATGCAGCGCGCTGGTCTTGCTGTCGTGGTCCCAGTAAGAGCAATGCATCATGGCGAGCTCGGGCTGCCGGGCGCAGGCGAACTGCAGGCCGGGCGCACTGGTGGGTGCGGGCGCTGAGGGTGCGGCGGTGGCCGGGCTGGCCGGGCTGAGCTGGCCGGGGGGCGGCGCGGCGGCCCCGTGGTGCGGTGGCGCTGGCGGGGGTGCCGCGGCCGCGTGCAGATGGTGCGCGTGCGGGTGCGGATGAGGGTGCGGCGGCGGCGGGGGTCCTGCCGGCGGGCCTCCCAGGCCGTTGTACGAGTTCACGACGCCGGGGGGCAGCGCCATGCCCTGCACGCGCGAGTACGGCCCGTAAGAGGCGGCCGGGCCCGCCAACCCCTTGACGACAGCGGCCGCACCCGGGCTGCCCGGGCCCGCGGCCGCCGCCGCCGCTGCCGCCGCCGCCGCGGCCGCCGCCATCTGGCAGGAGGCGTAGGGCATGGGCGAGGGCGGCTGCGGCAGTGGCCACGAGTTATTGAGGAAACCGGACTGCAGGTACTTGGGGGGCGCCAGGTAGCCGTAGCCGTCGGCCCCGGCCCCGGCCACGCCGCAGCCGCCCGCCGCGCCCCCGGCCCCGAACAGCCCCTTGCCGGGCTGGAAGTGCGCGGGCGGCGGGCGGAAGGGGCGCTTCATGCGGCGGCGGCGCCGGTAGTTGCCCTTCTCGAACATGTCCTCGCAGGCCGGGTCCAGCGTCCAGTAGTTGCCCTTGCGCTCGCCGCCGCCCTCGCGCGGCACCTTGATGAAGCACTCGTTGAGGCTGAGGTTGTGTCGGATGCTGTTCTGCCAGCCCTTCTTGTTCTTCTCGTAGAACGGGAACTTGGCGATGATGTACTGGTAGATGCCGGACAGCGTGAGCCGCTTCTCCGCGCTCTCGCGGATCGCCATGGCGATGAGCGCCACGTACGAGTACGGGGGTTTCTGCGCCGGGTCGGGCTTCTCCGAGGCTGTCCCTCCGCCGCCCTTGCCCGGACTTGGCGGCGGCGCCTCGGGCTCCTTGACTACGCGGCCGGTGTCCGGGGCCAGCAGGGCCCCTGAGGCGTCCTCAGGCTCGGGGTAGCTGGCCATCATGACAAAGGAGCCACGCCGCGGCCCGGCCACCCCGCGCCCCTCTCTGAGCGCTGGCCTCGCGGAGTCGGGGCGCAGAAGTCCTCCCGCGGCCGAGCCTCAAACTTCTGCAGACTGCGGATGCCGCTCGCCGGAGGCCTGGCTGCTCGCGCTCTCCTTTCTCTTCCCCTGGGGAGCGGCTGGCGGGAGTGGGACTCAGCCTCTGGCCATGGGGAGCCTGCCCAACGGAGAGGGGCTCCGGCCCGCCGCCCCTCCCTGCCGGGCCAGTCCCCGCCTCGGTGGGTTTTCTTTCCTGCGCTCCCCTCCCCCACCCCCCGGTTTCCCGAGCCACGACCCGCGGCTCTGCGGAGCTGCCTCCCGGAGTCCCTAGTGCGCCGGGAGCCTCGCTCTGTTCTGATTCGTATGGGCTCCGCCGAGTTCCGCTTGCGTCAGGCGCCTTCGCCCCTATAGCGGGGCCGCCAGCCGCGCACGGGCGAGTTCATCTCCAAGTCACTTTTTGTAAACGCCCCGCACAGCCCGGACCGATCTGCCCCCGCTCGGCGAGCCTCGGGGGCCCAGCAGACAGCCGCGCTCACGCTCTCACGAGCTCTTGGAATCTGCCGCTGCTTGCTCTGCGGACTGGGCCGGGAGCTGCCCAGGGCCCCGGAGGGGGCCGTGTGTGCCGGCCCAGTGCCTCGGAGCTCGGGCCCCAGCTAGGAGAGGCCCTCCAAGCCTCCTCACAGCTTTCAGGTGAAAGAAAACGCCTCCTTTGCTCTGCCCTTTGCTGAGGTCCGGGGGCTAAACTTCTAGTTTGGAACCGTGGAAGGGCGGAGACGGTGAGGGGGGTTGACTAGGGCGGGGTGGGGAGAGCTTCGCGGTGGCTTGGGGAAAACTAGCACAGAAATGCGTGTCTTTAGAGAAAGAAATCCCAGCCTGCCGGTCCCTCAGGCTCGCGCTCTTGGAGTGACTGAGCCGCAGAGGGGTCCAGGAGAGAATCTCTGGGAGGAGGCGCCCAAGGTCACCACCTAACAGCCTCTAGACCAGATGCCTCGTCATAGTCCGAGTGGTAACCTTCCCGGTTGGCTTGTGCTCTGACAATACCAAGTGGACTCTCCCTCTGCTCCTGCACCAACGTAGATGAGGAAATTATGGGGTTTTGGGACTTCTGTACCTGTGAGTGCATAGGTGTTACATGTGGAAGACGTGGGGAGGAGCTGGCCTTGAGATGTGTGAGATGCCAGCTGTCCAGGTGCAAATGTGTTGGTCAGAAACACAGGAATGTACTTGTACTAGCTGTGAGGTTTACATTTATGAGGTACAACACATTTCTACTTATAGATATATATGTGTGTCAGGTGTCAGGTTTGAGTGTAGTTTCACGCTTATAGCATTGCCACTTTGCTTCCCCCCTTTCTTTGTGATCTTTCACAGCTCATCTCTGTCTTTTTCCTGCTCAATATATATAATTCTGTCATAGACTTGGAAGAAAGATAACATGGTGAAGGTAGCCCTTGTTCAAATCTGTCTCATGATGAGACATTTGTTCTGATCTTTTTCCCAAGGTTCAGGAGTAAGATCTGATCTGCCTTCAGCAGAAGTCTGACTGGGACCTGGTGACATCAGCATATTACAGAGATTGTCAGGGGAGACGTGTGCTGGCACCAAACTCAGGTGTACCTTTTAATAATGTTTTTCCACTTAGTTTTAGTAGAAAATCTGCAATCATAAAGTGGTGTTTTAAATCCTCAAGGCTCAAACTCAAAGATGCTGAGGAGGGGGCTGGGATGCTTTGTGGAGGAAGGTGGTCTAAGTGCATGTCATGCAGGTGTGCATCAGTGATTGGCATGTCTGGAGTGGCTAGTGCAATGCCTGTCATTACTCTTCCTTCCAGTCTGCCTAGTCTCTGAGAGACTAGCCGGAAGCCTGAGGAGCCCTCAGTAGCCTGTGGCTCCAGCATCCATAGACCACTGACATGTGCTGTCTGCTTCCTTCTCTGAATGAGCCTGTGATCCACATTCCGAGATGAAAGGAAGGGAGGACAGGGAGCTGGGGTGCTCTGGAATTCAGCATCTTGAAGATGACTCCAGAGAGGTCAGCAGGGCAACCTGGCCTGACCACCAGGGTGAGAAGAAGCTAGGCTCTTCTTGACCCCTCCTCACTAGGTCCTGACCCCCACCCCTTACTGAAAATGTCCCAAGGTAGCTGCTCCCCCTCCACTGCCCCCAGCATCCACCAGGCAAGCAACAGCACTTCTCTAGAATCCCTGTGGTGGCTTTCTGAGCAGGAGTGCATGTATTTTTCTTCTTCCTCTGTCCCATCTGTGCCCAGCTATGAGTAGGAGTGGTGAGTCAGGTTTGGAGCTGCTGCAGATCTGCTCCTCCGGCCTGAGCAGGTGGGGAAAACAGCTGGGTCTGGCCCCTTCTTGGTGGGGCCGCTCTCTCTTTTCCCTCTTCTTTTCTGGCCACCCAGGCTGGCTCTCTCTCTCCCCTCCCCTCCTCCCTGGCATTTCCGCTGCTCAGCTCCGCAGCAGCCAGGTGTAACAGCATTGTTGTGTGTGTCATCACTTCCCCGAATTCCACACTCGGCTCCCTTTTCAGCCTTTAAGGAGTCTGTGTGCATGCGGAGGGGGTGGGGGTAAAGAAAAGAATCCCTCTGAAGGATTTTCTGAGCGGCAAGAAGAGGCGTCCTGCGCTACCTAGTATTGATTTCTGGTTGTCCTTTCTAGGAGCAGAACCCCAGCCCGGCTGGAGACAGGGTGCTTGCACTGAGCACGCTAGGAGGGGCTGGACTCAGTCTGTCTTCATAATGGCATAACGGCAGTGGCAGTCGGGCTTTGGAAGGCCGGGGACACAGGCCGCACTGCGCTTGCCTCCACGGGGGCTCTATCTTCCTAGGAAGCTAGGGATTTGGCACTGGAGGGGCCTTAGGCGACGGCAGAGTCTTGTTCCTGCTGGGGTTTGGCCCCAGGTAGGTGAGGCAGGCGCTCCAGGAAGCTGCTGGTCCGCTTTGGTTTACTTCTTAACTCCCCTAGGCAGGCCGGGTAGGTCCCCCAGGCTTTCTGGGGAAGTCGGGATTCTATCAGGCAGTGCACGTGGGTGCAGAATCACAGTTGCTCTGCAGCATCGCAGTGACACGTCCCGGGCCAGCCTGCACCTCCAGGGCGCCCAGTCCTAAGCCGGGCGGAGCTCATGGCCTCTGCCACCCGGCTTTCTAGGGAACCTCGCTACAACCCGGAGCCCAGGCGCCTCCTGCCTGTTGCCCGTGCAGCAGCGCCAGGGACCCGCCAAGAGCGCAGCCTCCTCTCTCTCTGTGAGCCTCCCCGAAGACTGGCCCCGCTCGGAGTTGCGGACCGCTGGCGCAGGCAGTCTATTTGGAGGTTAGGTGAGCGGTTGCCCTCTGCCCGGGCAGAGTATCCTGCAGCAGTGACAGAAGCCTGCTGGTTCCGCCAAAGAGTAGCGAGGGTTCCCAGCATCGTTCCACTAGTCCAGCACCGCCATCAAGCCGAGTCCCGAGGTCCCCTTTCCTAGAGAGGGTCTAAAACACCGTCAGCTTTAGGCTCTAGCGCAGGGAGAGGACTGCAGCGCATTGCTTGTGGGTAGGACCTCTGCTAGACTCCCGGCCGAAAAGCTTCATCTGGCTGACTAGTACGTCACTGAGTCTCAACAAGGGCGGCACTTAGTGGTCTATCACTGTCTCATCCCTACACCTCCTGGGCACAGAGTCTGCGCGGGTCACATTTCTCCATTCAATTCTCTTAGTCTCCCAACCAACTCTGAATGAGTCCTCTCCAGGTCTCCCACTACAACTCTTTCACACTAGCTCAGATCCGAAACAATTTGATGGAAGACAGGCCAGATTGCTGCCTGGTCTCTTGGCGTCTCCACACACTGGGACACTGCCCATCAAGTGCTGCAGAATAATCCCTTGGCTTCTTCTCTACATGTCTGACTTTCTTGGGCCTTTGGAGAGTGATCCTCCATATCTGCCCTGTGTTCCCCCTGGTAGGGCTGCTCTGTTTCTTCTTGAAGCTCATGTACAGAGCATGCACCTGATGGCTTACTGCACACAGGCCATGCACACTGGACTCCTCCTTGTTTTTCTGCAGCCCATGAGGATCAAGAGCTCTTGTGCACACACTCACACAGTGCCAGGCCTGAGGCTAGTGCCTTTAGCCTGGTAGGGATTAGCAGAGTCATTTCCCCAAATACATGTTTGAGAGAGAGAGGGTTAGAGACAGTCTGTGGAGTGGAAAGAAAGAAGGTGAGACTGAGAGAAAGAGGAAGCCACTCCCAACAGTACTCTGTGGTGGAGATGAGAGCTGTGTCCAGCTGAGGTGTCTTACTGAGCCCCTCCCTCTTTCTGCATGGGGCAGGGCTAGGACTAGCAAACCGGAACTCTGAATCTCTTCTTGGGTTTATTTCATTTTATTTGAGATAGGATTTTGCCATGTTGCTCAGGCTAGTCTTGCAGCTGTGGGCTTGAAAAAACCTCCACTTCAGTGTCTGAGTTAGCTGGGCCAATGGGCACCTGCCATCGTGCCAGGCTTTGGTTCCTTCTTTACCTCATTGATGTGATGTTGGGTTAAAAGTCCACCGGTGTCTTTTTGTCCTTAGGAGTGTCTGCCTGCCTCTGTCAGGGCAGTAGGTCTTTCTCTCAGTTGATGCTAATGCAGAGAGAAAAGATAGAGGGGGGCTTGAGGACTTCCTTTTCTCAAAGACCTCTGGGATGCTCCTGGAATGGGAATCCCACGAGGCATCCTCTGATATCTCCTGTAACTTCCATGGCCCAAAGCCATTTTGTTTAGTCGTGAACCAGGAATGACAAGCTATTAGACTCCAATCCTTGCTTAGAAGTGTGATGCATTTTAAAAAGGTGCCTTGTCACCTTTCTCCATGCCCAGACATAAGCCTCGATGGGCAGAGACTGTGTCCCAGGTCTCAGTGCTTCCCATGGAGGGGTCCTCCACACCTTCAGTTAGAGCTGGAAGGAGGTTCTGTTTCACAGCGAGAATTGGGAAATGCCACTTGTAATAGAGCTAAAATTTCTGAGAAAGCAATTGCAGGTGAGGAAGAGTGACTGAACCACTGAGGGTCAGCCCAGGCACTGAGAGTCCTCTTGTCATTTGGGGATACTTGCTCCTTGTGGCTGCACAGCCGTACTGCTGAATCTTAGGGGGTCAAGGACAGATCTCTGGTTCTCTGACGCTGGAGGGGACCTGCCTGAAGCAAAATAGACGACAGAAACAGTGCGCCTGCTGCCTGGAGTCTTGACGCCTTATACAGTCTCACAGTGTTCACCAGAGAGCCCTTCTGCTTGGTCCTCATCTTTGGCTCAAGTTTCTTATCTCCAGTGGGCACTGTTTTAATGGGCTTCCACGTAGGAGGGCCCACTTAGAGGTCTAGGTGCAAGAAGTCTACCCACCTATATAAAATACAGCTGTGGTAGCACATGCCTATAATCCCGGCACCCTAAAGGCTGCATTGGATCACAGTGAGTTCCAGGCCAGCCTGGTCTCCATAGTGAGTTCAAGGCTAGTCTTAACTACATAGGAAGAACCTGTCTTAAAAACAAACCAGTAGGGCTGGGCATTTAGCTCAGCCGCATAAGCACCTACCTTGCAAGCAGGTGGTCGTGAGTTCAATCCTCGGTACCGGTAAAAAAAAAATAATAATTTCAAGAAAGGGAGGGAGAAAGGCTGAATCTTGTGTTTTGTATTACTAACCTTCTTAATGAGATTTCTTGCACACTAAGGAAGTGTGTGTATGGGTAACTTATGGGCAGTAAATACTACACTTC